AATCAGAGGTCACCCGAGGATGATACTCCTTCATCGACATTACTCTTCGCCTTTAACTTTCAAAATGGCGGCCGAAAAACCTGCGTTGCTATAGACTGTAGCTCCTAAACGAATGTACAGATTTAAATAAAACTTCGCTAGTCATTTTCTCGACGCCTTTTAGATTTATCTATATAACATACTTCAACGAAAAGAAGCTGGAAAAAAAAGTTACAAGGGATGGTAAAATTAAATTCCGAATAACTCGAAAAGTTTTTACTTTTTTGTTGATATTGTATAGTTTTTTAAAAGTTTACGAAATTTCCCAAAAAAAAACAAAAAAAAAATCGTTAAAATCAGACTGTTAGGAGCAAAGGTATGGTCTCCGGGTTTTTTTATATGTTCTACTCCAAATGTTATATCCTTGGTTTGATTGTGTTTTGGTGTAAATTTTGAATGTGTTGCTAAACTAATGCTATTTTTTTTAGCATATTACTAATGATTAAAGAAAAATAGTTTAGTCCAATAATTGGAATCACCTTTTGTTTTTTTTTTCTTTGTAGCTCGGAAGGTAATGTTTCTTTAGATGTATAATTGTTTGGAAATAATAAACCATTGTGAAATAATTTGTAGCTTTTTTTATTTATTTTTAACTCTCTAAGACGTTCTTATTAGTTCAGTTCCATAAAAAATTAACCTGACATTTTGCAATAAACTGACGATAGCACAAAGCACTTAAGGTAAACGAATTACAACTGTTGGAAAGTTTTACAAAGATACATCAAATTAAGCACCAAAGACTAAGCACGTGTACTGTGTGTGGGCCGACGCCAACGTTGTTGCTCAACTTCCCTTACTGTAATATAAATAGATCGTTTTGGTTTGAATAGAATTTACATCTCAAATCGTGTATTGTCTTAAGTAGCTTCGGTAAATATCATGTAAATAACACCATAATATATATTTTTATGTTTATATTGGGTTGGCAAAAAAGTCCTTTCGGTTTTTCAGGGTAAAATAAAACCCAATGTATTATAGACATAAATTTATTTTAATCTACAATATATTGGCCATTATTTAATATGACTTTTTCTCATCTTTCCACTAACTGCATAATGTCATGTTCAATTTAAAAAACTCATCCAAGTGATTTTTTATGTACTCTTCCTTTTGGAATTTCTTTCCATTTATGGAGTTCTGCAGAGACCGGAATAAGTGGTAGTCACCTGGAGCTAGGTCTGGTGAATAGGGAGTGTGGGGCAAAAGGTCTCATCCAAGGCTCAATAATTTATTACGAGTGACCAATGAGGCGTGGGGCCTAGCGTTGTCTTGGTGGAACACAACACCCTTCCGATCATTCATAACTCTTCCAAATGTTCTCCAAATTCGATGTTACTATATCCGCTGGAAAGCTGAATTATTTATCTTCAAAGCCGTATGATTGGTTTTTGATTTAATGAGGAATAAATGAACAAAAACTCCTAATAGGTTTTTATTGTTTATTTCAATTTGTAGTTTGTTTGCTAAGGTCCTGTTTAGTTTATTTGACCCCAAATCCTTGCTAAATATCTTGTAGATAGCTAAAGCCGTGTTGAAGTTATAACATTTTTTGTGATTTTCGAAAAAAATATCATGTGAGGGACCGAAACATTAAACCTGGACACAATATAGCCAAGCTTGAGCAAATAGTTTTTTACGCTTGTGTGCGACACATTTAGGGCCATAGCAATCTCTCGTACTGATTGGATAGGATTTTGATCAATAATGGCCTTAACATTGCTCGTTTCAATTTCGTGGGGGCGACCAGACCATTGAGCATCATTGACATCAAGATTTCCTGAATGATAAACCCCCATAAACATTGCAAATTTTTCTATGAGTTTCTGCAGCACGCTTACCTTCTTTAAAATAATACCAAACAACAAATAACAAAATATGCCGATAACGAATGAGATTTTCTTCCATATTCACAGTGAAGTAGCAAACACAAGCTACTTTCAACAAGAGTTTACAGATAAAGTTATTGACATATTACAAACAGGAAAAACAATCCACCTTAGGAATTAATTCATCAGATAAGAAGTGTATCATACTGACGAAAAAAAAAAGAAAACCGAAAGGATTTATTTGCCAACCCAATAATAATATAAAAAGCAGTATATAATATAAAAAAAATACGTCTTACATAGAGTATAATAGTTCATTAAATTTTGATTCCCTAAAAGCTTTTAATTTTCAAAAGCCCACATCAGATTGAATAGAAAAGTTGATTTGGTTTTATTATTATTATATTTTTTAAATATATTCATTCAGATTTCCTATTGTAACAAAAATATAATATAGTGCGTGGTACATACTCCTGTTTATCAAATTGTTAACATCCGCCTAAAACTTCGTAAATAGCTTCATCACATTATAATCTACAACTATTTACAAATTCTCAGAATTGGGGCGTTTTCAATCTGGAGGGGGGCAAAGTTTGTATATTTAATTGGGTACTAAAGAATCGTTAATATTTATTTGTTTTCACTTACTGCACACGCGTTAGCCCATTCGGCTACCCCGCCCACCACAATTTGCTTTTCACTTGAATCTTATGATTACAAAATGTGAGTACAAAAAACGAAATAAAAGGTCGACCTTCAAAAAATTTGGGTCGTATGGCGTGACCTATGCTCCCAATATGTTAACGAGGTTATTTAGGACAAACCTCCCTTTTAGAAATATATGTTTTATGTTTCTATGTTTTACACACAAGCCTCTGTAAAATTAGCACCATGAGGTGTGGCGTTAAATAATTGAGCTACACTCATTGCCAGTCCCAACATAGAAGATAGATTATTGGCCACGTGAATTTGAACAACATAAAAAATAAGTGTAAACAAAATACAGAGAGGAAGGTCAAAGTCCAGTTTGACAGATAAGAAAAAATAACCGGTTACTATCGAGCTGGAATGTCATTGGCCTACATATCCTCTTGTATATATAATATAATATATACAGTAATATTGTTAAATAAAATTATATGTACAAGGTTGTACATGTGTTACCTTAACATGGTACCGACTATATCTCTAATTCAGTTGCTTTATTGTTAGGTTAAAATATGTATAACATTAATATTCTCATATGCCTTACTTTTAGATGTACATATATTACAGATATGTATATACACACATATAAGTATCATATACACAAGACCCGTAATATTTTCAAACTAGGATGTTTTTTCTCATCTCTTATCGCCTCGTATACATTTCTCAATACGGCGGTTTATTCTTCAGATATAACCAAAATATTCTAAACAAAAGGTCAAGATTCATTGTGCGGCTTTATCTGGAAATAAATTTAAATCTTCCCATAAAAAAGTTTCATACTTAGAAATAGAAAAATAACTTTATTCTGGGACACAGTCCCTTGAGAATAACAAATTAGAACAAAATTAAAATATTACATCTGGCCAAAACAAAATAAATCGAAAAAAAGAAATAATGTAAAAAAAATATAAGGTAAAAACTCTATATACAAAACAAACTAAACTATATACAAAACCATTAATACTATGACAAGAAACTTAAAGCTATTTAAACCAGTATACACTTTTCCGAAAAAAATAAAGAATTAAAAAATAAAAATATATCAAATTCTCTATTAAAATCCGCTCGAATGGTTAGCAAGTATCTGACTGTTTTTGTGCTAGGAATTGGAATAGGAGGGATTTGAATGTGGATATGGAGGGGGAATGTCGAATTTTGATAGGGAGGGAATTCCAGAAATTGACAGAGCGAACAATAAAGGAATTTTGGAATGGGGCAGATCTGTGAGAAGGCATGTAAAGGTCAGAAGGTCGAGATCTTGTGGACAGGGAATGGACTGAGGATTTGAACTGGAGAAGGTTGTAGGCGTAAGAAGGACGATGGTTGTTGATGATTTGGTAGAGGAACGTACCTAGAAAGTATTGTCTTCGGAAGGAGGGGTAGAGCCACCTTAACTCAGTGTAGTGGTGAGAGACATGGGAGTACCTCGGGGCACCAATAACAAATTTTACGCAGCTATTCATTAATCTTTTCAGTCTATCACGGAGCTCCACCGAGAGGCCATCATACACCACACAGCTGTAGTCAAAGTGGGGGAAGATGAGAGAGGAAATTAGGAGTCTACGGATATGTTGAGGTAGGAGATGGCGGAAGCGATGAAATAGTTTAAGGGTAGAGATTGTCCGACGGGAAATATGAGAAATATGGTTGGTCCAGGAGAGGGTTTGATCTATGAAAAATCCTAATTTTTTAACAGAGGAGTAGAAGGAAATTGGCTGGTCATTAAGGTGTAATATGGGAAAGTCAGTATGGGATCTAATGAGGGGCTTGGAACCAATGACGATGGCCTGAGTTTTGGCAGCATTCAACTTTAATCCATTTACATTTGCCCAGGCATTGATTCGATCAAGATCTTCTTGAATCTTGGCAAATGCCCCCAGTAACTCAGAGGGAGAAAAGGATAGGTAGATCTGGGAATCATCTGCATAAAGGTGATGGGAACAATGGAGAATTGATTTAGGTAGGTCGTTAATGTAGGAGCTGAAAAGGAGAGGAGATATGCTTGAACCCTGGGCAACTCCAGAGGATAAAGAAAGGAAAGCAGATAGTGGTTGGTTTGTATGTATACTTACAGTTGAAGTTAGGAAAACATGTAAAAATATTAAATAGCAGTTGAATAATATTTCATCATAGTATAATGTATACACATCTCTTACATTTGAGTATTTAAGCTACCCTAGAAATATTTACTGTTACCTCATGGATTGAGATTACATGAAATTATCTATAGATATTAGGTAGTTATTTACAGATAGGTTATATATTTTATGGTATTAACTTTTGTCAATTCTCAAATTTATCATACGATTTTTTCGTATCACACGTACTCTTATCTTCAAATAGCTTAGCAAATTATGAAATAGTAACATTAATCGTAATGGAATTTCGCAGGGTAATAGTACATCCAGTTACTCGAAAATATGAATGGATTCACCGTTGAAGCAGATTGTATGCCGTAACTTTCCTTTGATGCCTATTGCGGATCGAGTGGTTGGAACCAAAAGAGTCTTACACAAATGGAAAGCTGCTGCACAATGGTTCATTAGTTTGACACTGAAGGGGAGTTGGATTCGGGAGCTATTTCCTCAATACTAGTATGTATTGTCTATTGTACAATTGAAGTTAAATAAATGATACCTTAAATTTACAGATTCCCTTCTAAAAAACATAGCTGTCTAATTTAAAAACTATAGTCATAAAAAAAATATTTGAATTAAAAAAAAAAAAACTTTTCAAAAATTGGGAAATTTTATCTACCCTAAGGAAATGTACTCGAATATCGTCTTAAACATCTTGTTAGATTGATAGAAAAATTTATATCTAAGTATTTTTACTTTCCTACCTATACCAGGTAAGGAAAATATTGCGATCGGGTCAAATTTCCGATATGAGGTTTTCGACGGATCTATAAGTTTCAGATCCCCTGAGTTCGAAAAACACATTTTTAGCCATTGGTATGTCTGTCTGTGCCAAGATTTTCTTGGAAACTAATGATCCGATTTTGTTGCTTCTTTTTTTTTTATTTTGTAAGGTTTTTTCTATGATGCCTATGACACAAACTGGGTGCTCCATGCGAAATAGCTGCTGCACAGTAAATGAAAAACATGTTTTTCTATAGACTATTGCACGAAAACGGCTCTAACGATTTTGATGTAACTTTCTTATAATGTTCTAATAATTGTCCTTCAATTTTTGTACATGGACTGAATTCCCGAGAAAATTCAGGAAAAAAAATTATAAAGAAAAGAAATATGTTTTGGAGCCTAACTCGTTAAGTATATATTCTATAGTAAAATTTATAATAAAACTTTAGAAAAGTAATTAAATTACTAACAAAACAAAAAGAAAATCATCGGAATCGAACCAGTATTAGCAATGATACAGCTTATTCTATTTTCTACACATGTTTTAATTGATTACTTTCCTACCTATACTAGGTAAGGAAAGTATTGCAATCGAGTCAAATTTCCGATATCCTGTTTTCGACGGATCTATGCGTTTCAGAACCACTTAAAGCTATTCAATTTCAATTCAAGATTATTATATTAATCCTAAGTGGAAATGTTAACTCGTATTAAGCCTCCACCCTCTCCCCTGGCTCCGTAAAATCTCAGTATAGTCTAAAATGCGGGAAAAAGTAATGAGGTAAGTGAAAGTAAAAAAGTAATTTACAATCTTCATAATATTTGATGTTTGTAAAAAAATGAAAGAATATTTTTACTTAGGTACCACATATTCGAATATAGTATTCTACTTTCATATTTCGAATTTCCGACTGTCAACAGAGCTCACTTTTATTTATTAATTAATAAAAATAAAATAATTAATTTATTTAAAAATACTTACGGATCTAATGGTGGTAAAAACCACTTTCCGACTAACACCATTTCACTGATTCAACACAGCGAAATCGTCAACCTTCAATGTCAAACTGGTGTTTTTATGTTTTCATTCCATCTCACGTATTTTTTCATTTCATAAATAAATGGAATACATTTTATCATTATAGTTCCTCGATCGATTAGCTCGATTCTAGATCCTCTCGATTCTAGGCACGTTTAAATCGATTTCGTCAGAAATATTTGTCGAAATTGGGAACACCGTTTCAGGTAACTTTCGGGGAGTGTATTCATATCGTCGATACAAATACTAACTATCGAATATAAAACATCATTTTTTCAATCCTGTATTTTAGCGATTATAATTGTTATTACGAAATCTTCAAACATTCATAAAACCATTTATTAGTGGGGAAATTAAAACATCATCGTTGTTTGGACTGAATTGATAATACTATTAGAGTGGTGATTTTCAGATTCGATAGTTACCACGCGCATCGATGATACATACGTAAATAAAGGATAGCGGGCATTCTATAGCGAAAGTGAAAAACAAAATAAAAAAATTGAACGAGATGAGGTTGTGATAATAAGATTAAGACTGTGGATAGGTCACTCACGGCTTACTCATGTATTTCTAACTAAAGAGAATAAAACTGAAAAATGTGTTATATAACTTGCAGGTGACCATTAGTCCCATCATAGATGATTGTGATAGTATCTTAAGTATAAAAAAAAAAGACCTAAATTCCTAAAAAACAAAAAGAAAGAAAAAATAAAATAAATTTTTAAAAAAGCAACAAAGAAGGAGACCAGATTATTACAGAAATAATTCTAGATAAATTTTCTTTTTTCTTTTTGGTATTGGAATTTTCTATATTGCCAGTATAAAATTATTTACATGTGTTCCTATTCTATTCTTCACTATTTCCATTTTTAATATATCTATTTATTTAATTCAAATATTCCGTGAGATTGATAATTTCCTCGTGGTTGCTCGATGTTAATATTTTTTTGTTTATAGATTGTCATCATTGTGTGGATTTAGAAAATTTCCCTCTCTGATTTTTATAGGCAGAGCATTCCATAATGATTACTTAGAATGTTTCATTTTGGTTCCATTTATCACGTTTATGTGAATTTTTAACTCGCATACGCTGCAAGTACGCTTTTCATAGCCCATGATTTCTTCTAGAAAAATTTGTAGTTATATCTTTTAGTATGATTTATTCGAAGAACCATGGCTTCTTTAGAATTTGCGGCACATAGGACTTAAAAAATATGCCTGTGGAAGACTCTTGATAGTGAAGAGACTATTTGTTTACCATATTTCTCTATATAGTTATGGCCAGTTATAATTTTTACAATTATATTTTTAATGAATATTTGGATTTTTTTTGGGGAGAAAAATATAGTTTTATACTGTGAGAGGAACGAATCATATATTTAAACATAATTGTACTCTATGTGTTACCAAATAAATAACACTGACCAGAAAAAAAGAAATTATTAACGTTACATCTCGAAAATGAGTGGGTAATAAATTCAAATGAAAACAAGCTCGTGCATCTACTGAATTTCAATTTGAAATCATGCCAGATACAGCAATTTAAATGACAAAGCCTACATGTCTTGTTTGGAATTCGTTCGGGAATGAACCGTCAACAATAATATTTAGTTAATCGATTGAATATGCAACGACCTCCGGGATTCACCCTCTGATTGTAATTCAAAACTTAAAACGGGCGAGGGAAACATTTCAATCCTATCCAACTCGTCGGAACGAATCAATACAACCAATGAATAATTTGAGTTATTCAAAAAATTACACTTTTAGAGAAATTATTTAAATGTGTTGCCTCCATTTTTTTAAATAAATGATATAGGCTCTAGTATTTATGTTTTTAATGAATTTAGTCAAGTTAAAATTTGTTTAGTACTCAAATATATTATTTAACAGGATAAATTCACTATATTAAAGGTGTACAATGCTATGATAAAGCCATTATGGATGCGAAACCCAGACCATAACCAGCACTCCAGAAAGAAGTATTGAATGATTAGAGAGAAAAATCCTAAGCGAGCTTGCATCATAATACTAACTCATGGAGCAGTCTGACCAATAAAGTGCTGCTTACAAAAAGTGGTAAATCAATATTACATGATATGAAGGCTAGGAGGTTAAGACAGGCGTTTCTTTTACTTCGCTACTACAAATCATATTTCAATGAAGCATGTGATTTCTTTGTCACTATTTATATATTTGTTAATAAATATCATTACGTAGTTATAACCTAATCTTTAAATAAAGAAATAAATAGGTACATGTTTTTTCATCAATAACAAATAAAACTGAGAACATTAAACTTTTTTTTAGTATCTAAACAACTGGTCCTTAAAACCACTAATAAGGTTGATGTGAATATATTTATTTATGTATTCAGGAGGATTAACACGCATGCAAAAAAGAACCAGCGTAGACAAGAAACCGCTCGACGTTTCCGATTACTTCAGCACTTACTAGACATACACTCTAAACTTCTAATTAATTACAAAAGACTCATTTACATGACTGTAATAAGGCCTATTTGGACTTACGGAGTTGAGCTATGGGACTAAACTAAACCATCGAATTCCTCCCGTATCCAATCCAAAATCCTTCGTAAAATCCTCAATGCTCCCTACTTTGTCACAAATAAAACCATCCATAATGACCTTAATGTTTCTTATGTTTCAGATCTGGCCCAATCCAGATACCTATCTTTCCATAATAAACTGCAGAATCATCCCAAGCTTTTCGTTTCTAACCTTGCTTCCTCTTCAATTCCTGATAATCCCCCAAGGCGTCTGAAAAGAAGATGGCCCCATGATCTCCTAATGTAGACATATCATTAGAGTGCTAACATTGGGTAGTTACTCAACAAGTATTTTCACGTCATTATATCCATGTGTTCAAATTCACTAAATATATTTCTTTAATACAGTTGTAAATATCATTAAGAAATAAAAAATTTAAAAAAAGAGTTCAAATCCTCGCCCTCACCTCTGACAAGGGAAAAAAACGTTTACCCGAAAACGCGAGGAAGGGAATACATTTGGCTAGTGTAATTGATGACCCTACCTCCGTACTTTAATAGGATATGTGTGGTTTTCTAGAATGTTAATATTTGTTTTTTATATATAATTTATGTATTCAATGTTAGTCTTCAAAATTTTAATGTTTACATTATTTATTATCAAGTTCCTTATTTAAATAAAAAATATAATTCCTAATTGAGGATATTTTTCGAAAACCGCTACGATATCAAAACAAACCTTAATGTGTTCTAGTTGATAAAGAAGTATTTCCTGGTTCTACAACCGGCCATCAAGTCAAGGTCCTTTCTAGCACCTATCTATTTCTTTGTTTATTATGCTCTAGCTCTTAATTAATAAAATTTAACTATTAAATAAAATAATATATAAATAATTATAATTATATAATAAAATTTAACTAATATACTAATAAAGTTAGGAAACTACAGCAATGGATAGATCTGACAAAATAATAGCATTTTTTTATATAGGTAAATTTTATAAAAGAGTTATAATAATAATTTCTATTCATCTTTTTCTTTTATTTAATTTGTTTTCCTTTACATATACTAGTAGGCCCGTGCGAAAAATTCGCACACCATATTGTTATTAAATGCCAAATTAACAAGAAAATAAAATAATGCAAGGTATCAAAAGATAAAAAAATCAAATGTTACTTTATCGATACATATAATCGACCAAGAAAACAAAAATTAATTTAAATCTTCATTTTTTTTAGGAACCAACACGTATATAAATTTCAGTAAGCTGTATATTTGCTAAAAATTGTCCGATTGCGATGATTTTTTTTTTTTCCTTTTGTAGGGAATTTAGTAATGTTTTATATAATCATGGGAATAACCAAGGGAAAGGTGTGTAATTTTTTAGTTATTCGCAAATAAAGTTTGTTTTCTTTCATAACTTGTTTCCCTGAATTTTCTGGGTGATTGGACTATTTTTCCCGCCTGAAGGAGAAGGAAGCCTTCGAAATTGGTGGCTCAATCTTGAGATTTGGTGAAGAATTAACAATGATATTGTTTTTCGATCAAAAACACCATCGATAAATAATATAAACTCCTCCTCTCTCGATCATAGAGACCTCAAGTCGATGAAATGAGACATGTATTCAATGACAGTACTACAATTAATGTAAGGTTGTGTGGATGAGAACCCCATGCCTTGCGTTATCTCGAAAATAGTACGTTTTTAGGCTTAAAAACGCAGGATCCGATAGTTCCAGTGGAACTATCCGGGTCTTGCTGTACGCATCAAAATCTTCAAGATCCAATTTGTCCCGTATCGATCTACAGACCTACCACCGTTCCTGTATTGAAGCCCAGCAAAATGTTTGTATCGACTTTATTTATTTTAGAAAGAAAAACAAAATTGGAGAATACGATTCGCTAACCCCACGTGAAATTCTGAATCCAACGGTACCCCATTCATGGTATTTAATCATGACAGGAGCTTATATTTGGTACAAAACCGATTTCGAGCCTTACTGTAATAATATATGTAGGGATTTTATTTGTATGTATGTATTCTTTTTCTCCATTAAATCTACCAGATAAATATTTTTATAATAATATTTTTATGAATAAGGCTCTGATGACCTAGATGTTTTTCGCCTAAACATCAAAATGTACATATTTAAGATAGGTGTATGCCTTAGATGTTGTGACAGCAACTTTTTCCTTAAAACGGTGAAACACATTTTTACAATTTTCTCAAAAACGGCTCTAACGATTTTGATTAAGTGTTCTTTGATACCAACCAGATCTTATCCTGATTGATGTCACTTTACAGGGGTTAAATGCCCAATGTTCCAAGTCTGAGACCAACTTTGATTAAATTCGTAGTATCGAAGTAAAATTAAAAGGTGTTTACTTACTAATATCATGTTGATGTTTACTTCATCAAAATAATCTGATAAGTCTTAAATACAGAACTTTCAAATTCTGTACCTTTAATTTTCTGTATCTTTAAAGTTTTTTTATTATTAATAGTAGTGTTGCCCAAACTTGGTCTTGGTCTTGCATTTTACAAGACCAAGACTGGTCAGAAAATTTGTTATTAATACTTGACAATTTTAGTTACTAAATGTAAAGAATTGGTATAACCAATATAGATTTGCTTTTAACTCTCCAACTTTTCATTCAGACTTTTCTAGATCTGAAAGATTATAGTAATATCTCCTTAGCAATATGCTAATAGGTAACTCTGCATGACTCTTGTGCAAGACCAAGACTGAGTGCGTAAGACCAAGACTCGTCTTGGTCTCGCATTTATTCAACACTAGTTCATAGAAATACAAAACCCATAAACATAATATGGTATAACCTGTTATATTTGATAATTAACTAAAAGAGAAAATTTAAGAAATATTTACGCCGGCTTAAATAATAGTAGTAATGTAGATATATAACATATTGTTGGAAATCTAAAATAAATATCTTGTAAGGTCGTAGGAAGTAATAGAGAGTGTAACAATAAAAATATATTGTTCACCACAGAATTTGTGTACTCAATATTAATTGTAATAAGTTTGTGTTAATAGTTACAGTAATATTCTTAAGATTTTTTTAGTTAAAAAAAAATAATTTCTTATTAAAATTGGATAGTAGGGGAAAGTTGTGTAGTGCACCGCACCAGCTCTTTATAATATTATTTATAGGCATAAAAACATAAGCTGATACTATAGACATAAAGGGTAGAGACAATAAATAAATAAATAACATATGTTTTAATGTAAAGGAGTAAGAACTCACCAAGAGACAGAAAGTCTACTCCTCATCATAAAATGAAAGTCAAGAATACAATAAGTTGTGAGGCATCGTTAGGATAGAAAATAATACAATCCGCGCCCCCTCCCCTCTCCTATACTATAAATCTTAATATTATATTAATTAGGTCAAACTCCAAATGAGTTAGATTACAAGCCTAGTGATTTGGAATAAATGAGGTTTAGATGATCGCTTAACGGCGGAATATTACTAGAGAAATTTGCATAATTTTACAAATCCAATTTTATGTAAATAATGTTAAAATTTAAAGTATATTAACAGTTTCTTTTGCTGATTTTTATTTTTTACTAGCTTTACTCGGCCACGCGCTGCTGTGTCTTCGCCTGGCAAAATGGAAAAGAAAGAACGTATGAGTAGATTAGCAGCAAAGGACATCTGTCATTTTTAAAAGGTTGGGAAACAAATTTATATGTAAAATGGCTTCAATTTAAACTAATTCTAATGATTTGTTTTCTTATGATCCAAATTGAACATTCATAATCATCTGAGTGAATACACCGTCATTAATAATCATCAGAAACAGTCTGAGATGAACTTATAAAACTAAATAAAAAAATTAATTAAAAAAACGTATAATATTATTGACCTACATAAGGAGAATCATATAACTTCTTCAAATGATAATTTTAATTACTGTATTAACTATAAAATTTTCGATTAATCAATAAAAAAAAATGCTTGCCGACATTCGGTAGTGAAGAAGCAAAAGGAAATGGCCTTTTCTGAAGAGAAAGCAGTAAATGTTTAAAACTCTGTAACTCTGCAACGAATCGTCCGATTTCGATGATTCTTTTTTTATTTTGTCAGCAATTCAGCAATCTTTGATATAAATATAGGTATTATAATATAAATATAAGACTTGAGCCAAGTTTCGTTAAAATCGGTAAAGCCGTTTTGGCGCTACAATTTATAGCGACACATTTTTTTGCGGCTTTGAACAGAAAAACATTTACATTTTTATTTTTTTTACATATATAATATTATCGTAAGACAGAAGTACTATGCCAGAGACCTTCCCAGGAGTGTACGGAACAACTTCCCAAAGTTTCATGGCGATCGGTTGAATGGTTTAGTAATGCACTAAGGACAAACAGACAGACATACTTTCATTTGTATATATATAGACAGATGATAGTACAGTATAAACATTGTAGACAAGTAATGTTTTTCTCCTTTAATTCAGGTCCATGCTCAGAAAAATAAATTTTTCAATGA